TTTTTTTTTTTTTTTTTTTTTTTTTTTTTTTTTTTTTTTTGTGAGTTGTGTATTGTTGAACGAACGGATATTCTAGCTTATTAAGTTAGAACGGAAACTGCTACTACTTTATTATCAGATATTGTTTTGATTGATGTACTCCTACTTTTTTTTTTTATAGAACACTGTTTTGATTAACTCTCTCATCGGTATTGCAGTTGCTTTCAAATCTAGGGAGGATCATCGCAAACAACTTGAATTAGAGGAAGCACGTAAGGCAGGGCTTGCGCCAGCTGAGGTCGATGAGGATGGGAAAGAAATCAACCCTCACATTCCCCAATATATGTCCTCTGCACCTTGGTATCTTAATGCTGAGAGGCCAGTGAGTTTCTCTCTCACCCCCATCTTTCTAGATTTTATGTTGGTTGTTCGTGAATCATGATGATTGAATTTATTTTGAATCTATTTCAGAGTTTAAAACATCAAAGGAAATGGAAATCAGATCCGAATTATACAAAATCCTGGTACGATAGAGGTGCAAAAATACATCAGGCAGACAAGTACAGGAAGGGTGCATGTGAAAAGTAAGTCAGATGAATGCCTCATTGTTCACCATTATGTATATTCCTCAACCTATTTCTTGTCCTTACCTAAATTTACAACTAATAGTTTTTCATATAAAAGAAATATACGAGGGGATATTGAATCGGAACTTAAAATTCTTTCTCAATATTTTGCTGTGAAAAAAAGTACCAATCGTAGTTGTGGAACTATGATTTCCCCACATTTTATATTCTTTCTTTTGTTACTGTATAAAAATGTCAAATCTAAATATATTATTGGTTTGGAACTATTCTCCTAACTTGGTTCAGGTTTGGTGATATATGGAAATTCCCTTTTTATACTAATTTTCCTGACCTATGGTTTGTACCACTTTCCAATATTATTTAATATAGTTTTTTTTAAAAAAAATTAATTTTTAATTTTTTATGATTTACTTGACGTGTATGTTTTAATTTTATTGTGTATCTTTCAAATTTTATTGGCCATCCAGTTGTGGAGCATTGACACATGATGCTAAGTCATGCATGGAAAGACCCCGAAAGATTGGAGCAAAATGGACAAATATGCACATAGCACCAGATGAGAAGATTGAGACATTTGAACTAGATTATGATGGGAAAAGGGATCGTTGGAATGGCTATGATCCAGCAACCTATGCTCGTGTCATTGAGAGGTATGAGGCTAGAGATGAAGCAAGGAGAAAATTTTTGAAAGAACAACAGCTTAAAAAATTGGAAGAGAAAAATAATAAGCAGAATGAGGATGCTGAAGTTAGTGATGAAGATGAGGATGAAGATGATTTGAAGGTTGATGAGGCAAAGGTTGATGAAAGCAAACAAATGGACTTCGCAAAAGTTGAGAAGCGTGTTCGTACGACAGGTGGTGGAAGCACGGGAACTGTAAGGTATGTCACATAATTTATATTTGTTTATTCTTTTATGTCTCTCCCTGCTTAGCTCTTTTCTAGAGCGCCTCAATGCTGTATTAATTATTTCTTTGCATATTAGGAACTTACGTATTCGGGAGGATACAGCAAAATATCTTTTAAATCTTGATGTCAATTCTGCTTATTATGATCCGAAAACTCGGTCCATGCGTGAAGATCCTCTTCCTGATGCTGATCCAAATGAAAAATTTTATGTGGTATGTATCAGAAATGGGATCGTGGAATTTTTATATACTCCCAAATTTAACAAAGTAATAGTTATAAGTTAGTACGGATCTAAATTGTCGATCTATTTTTGTCATGATAGGGCGATAACCAAAATAGAATAAGTGGGCAAGCTTTGGATTTCAAGCAACTCAATGTGCATGCTTGGGAAGCATTTGACAAAGGTCAAGATATCCATCTACAAGCTGCTCCATCCCAAGCTGAACTTCTTTATAAGAACTACAAGGTTATCAAAGAGAAGTTGAAGTCACATACGAAGGATGCTATCATGGAGAAGTATGGCAATGCTGCTGATGAAGAAAAGCTGCCTCGAGAACTTTTACTGGGACAGAGTGAGAGACAAGTTGAATATGACCGCACTGGCAGAATTGTTAAAGGCCTGGTATTAAATTTATCTGAACTCATCCCTTTTATTTTCCTTGACAGAGTGCTACATCATTAACATGAAGCATATTTAATCGATTTTGAGTTATTATCTGGTTTTGTTTTACAATAATATCCTTCATTACACTTGTCTACTTCGTTACTTCTGCTGAGATTAATATGACAATAACTGAGTTGAGTGAATAAGAAAATGCCTGGTATAATTTCAAAAATGCATGATTAGCTGTACTCTACCATCGAGGCATTATGGTTCTACCTTTTTAAAACAAATGTAATTGTAGTGCTTTCCGCTCAATCTCAAATTAAAAGCTTGGACTAAGAATTGTGTAGCTAATGCATCATGACACGAGTTGATTGTCGAGTATGTTTGCTTTCTTCTGATTCCTTTTTTTCCTCCTTGAAGGAAATGGCTCTTCCCAAAAGTAAATATGAAGAAGATGTTTTTATTAATAACCACACAAGTGTTTGGGGCTCATGGTGGAAGGATCACCAGTGGGGCTATAAATGCTGTAAGCAGACCATCCGTAACAGTTATTGCACTGGCGCTGCTGGAATTGAGGCTGCTGAGGCAGCAGCGGACTTGATGAAGTCTAATATTTCTCGTAAAGCAACTTCTGAAGGTTAGTACTCGGAATCCGTTTTGTAGTTTTTTAAAAATTGAACCTGGAATGTCTTCCTGAATGTGATAACTCATTCTTGGCTTTCAACCGAATGCATGTGATTCAAGCTTTCTTTCCGTAACATAGTGCTTGCATGGGTATAATTTTATTTTAGAATATGTAAATTTATCGTCGGTTAGCCATCAAATGCTTGGCATCCTCAATATTCTTCATTGTATTAAGGTACAAAATTGTTCAGTTGAACTCCTGAATGATCTTCTAACATCACCACAGATACACCAGCCCCAGCTGAAGAGAAAAAGCTAGCTACTTGGGGAAGTGAAGTACCCGATGATCTCGTCCTCGACCAGAAGAAACTTAATGAAGCTCTCAAGAAGGTATGAATCTTAATACCCTCTTCCTGCGATATCTCGTGTTATCATCCGTTTTCTCACCGCATTTTACTTGTTTCTTACTTGGGATTACCTATTTCGCCAGGAGGATGAAAGAAGGAAGGAGGAGAGGGATGAAAGAAAGCGTAAATACAATGTGAGATGGAATGATGAGGTACATTACTTTCTCTTGCTTTGATCGATAGGTTCCTTGGCAAAATTTAAATAGCAAGTTTAGGTTTATTCTTCCTTCGCGCTGCGCCCTCGTGTGCAGGTAACTGCGGAGGACATGGAGGCATATAGGATGAAGAAGGTACATCATGATGATCCCATGAAGGATTTTCTCAACTAACTTGGCCTACTTGTATTGTAAATGTTTAGTTTTAGTTTCAATGATCATCAAGGGAACCTCTCATCTGAGCTTTCAAAACATAAAGTAGTGATTGTGAAGATCTGAGCTCGGTTCATGTGTCGGTAGTGGAAAAATTCAAATGTCATTCTTCAGAAAAAAGGGTTCAAAACACATCAAAGAACAAGCTTTTTCTAAAAGTATGTAAGAAGAGTTAAAAGGTGGAAATGACATTTATAGGCTTAATTTTTTTTTTTTTTAAATAGTTATTTGAATTTCTAAAATAGATTTTGGAAAAATTATATTCCAAAGGATACAATATCGACCAAAAGGTCAATACAATTATATTCTATTTCACTCAAAACAATTATATTCTATTTCACAAGTGTAGTCCAACCAATTAGGTATATTACAAGTTGGCATTGTAAGTAAAGCCTTATTCTTTGCCTCTCTCTCTCAAAATAATGCACTATGCCCTCGGATCGTCTTAAAAGAACGAACGGTATGTATATAATTGAGTTACGTTCGTATTGACATCAAACTAAAATATCAGAGTTACGTTTGTTATAGATGTTATGCCATCTTTACCTTAATTTTGGAGACGGTTGTAAAAATAAGAATAAAAAATTTAAATTTGATTTTCATTTTATTACTATTTCAATTTTATTGTCATTGTTGTATTAAAATGTATATTAGGTAAGCGTATTTAATGGTTCGTATATGCTTGTAAACTTGTGATTATAGACTTAATTTAAATTATAGTTTACTTCTTTCGAAATATTATTTTGCTAGTACGTTCGTTACTACTTGCATGTAATATAATCAATAAGTTTCTTGATTTGCATCTCGGAAGAGTCGAGTCATTTAGTCCGTTCATAACGATCTCTGTAAAAAATGGGTAAAGCTTCTTCAACAACATCGTAAGCGTCTTTTGGCTGAGGCAACTAGTTGCAAGTTCATGAACAAGTGAATAATCGAACGAGTCCTTTCAAAACTCACGATTGGGCGGTCCATGAACTTTGAAAATCGATCTTTTCTGCTAAACAAAACTGCGAATCTTAAAAAATCATATAATATAAATATTTATGATGTTATATCAAATTTTATACAAAATCGTAACGAAGATATAGATTAGTATTTCTCCATGAAAATTTGGGGAATATCACAAAGCAAACATCAAACCACAATCACATTATAGTAAAGTAAATTAGTATCCCCTCCAGCATCTTCTACGATACATTCAAACCACACTCTGAAAAAGTACTTTCCAACAAATCACCAATTCAATAACGAAATCAAGATCCATATGCACTCATAATTATGAACATGTATGAACGAATTCAACAATAATCAAGCACTGCGGGCCAACATCTGTTGAAATTCGAGAAGCGATTTCTCCTTCTCAAGAATAATCTCTTCTCGGAATTTCCTTATGAACTCCTCTGCTCGTTCATCCACCGGCCGTAGATGCGGCGACGAAGCCACCACGATTTTCCAAGCATCTTCAATGCTGTTAACACTCGTCTCCTTCTCCTTCTCCTCTTCCATTACTTCTTTTCCTCTGCTCGTCTCTGCAATCGGCGCTGCCGGATCCGCGAAGAGCTCATCGATGTGGATTGGCGCGAAATTGTTTGGATTTTGAACGTATTCATCGTATTGTTGGACATACTGATTCTGATCGCGACGGTAATATGAAGAAGGAGAGGACTTACGGCGGAGAAGACGGCGGCGAAATTTGGAGGGAAATAGAAGGCTGAGGGAGCGTTGAACGACGGAGTTGAGGCGGCGCGTGACTATATTGATGGATCTGGAGATTTTGAGCGCGTGGAATTTGAATCGTAATGTGTTGGTTAGTTTCTTCCATGCCTTCTTCGCCGTACGAAGCTTCTTCTCCATTTTCGTGCGCGACATTGGAGAGAGATCGCAGAAGGAAGGATTCTGGACAATGATTAATGGATGGTTTTAATGGCGGCTCCAAAGAAAAAGCAGCGTCGTTGTCAAGCTTCCCCCTCTTTTAAACCCCAATTTTATTTATTTATTTTAAATTTTATATCTAATTAATTCAATCATACAATTAAATTATAATCTAAATTATCTCGAGCCCACGTTCAAAATCGTTAGCTTGTAATAAACGAGTCAACATAAGTTAACCAAATTATTCGAATGATTGATTGATTCATATAAAGCTACAATGTTACGTAACTCGTGATGTTAATAGGTTAGCTATGCAACTATAAAACTCAATATAAATCTCATAACGTTTGCGTGTTGATCATTTATCCCCGTTACGAAGTACACAATTATTGTAAGATCATTTATCCACGTTTTTTTATAAAGGTGTGGAAACCTTTTTAAACCGAGAGATTGAGGGTCAAAGCGGACAATATCTACTAATAGTAAGCTTGTGCTCTTACAAATGATATCAGAGTCAGTTTATTAGCGGTGTGTTAGCGAAAACATGTCTCAATACTGCCATCAAATAAGAAAACACGTGCATATGGAAGAAAAACGTCAAGCGCTCTATGGTAGCATCTCGACCCTATTGATGGAAAGATTGCACGTAGTATCGAATATTATGTCCGAGAGACTCACGAGTAGTCTCTAAAATTTTTTACTTCATCAATTAGCTCGCGTATTTTCAATAAATCTTCTAAAGATTGAATAATAATTATTTATTTTAAAAAAAGAACTCAATGGCAAAATGGAAATTATTTTAAAGTTGAGGGGCAATTTTAATGGAAATATCTCTTTCGGCAAGCACCTATGTCCATTAAAACACAGCAAACTTGGGTCCTAAGTTTTCGGCCATGAAAAAGTTGATTAAACTTTCCCAAAAATAAATAAAAAAAATAAATTTCAATCATATAAAATTAATTTCATGTATTTTTATTTTTATTTTTTAAAGTAAAAAAAAAAAAAAAAAACAAAAACCCATTAAATTTAACGACGGATTACTTCATGCAAGCTATCTAGCGCTCACCCGATAAACATCGAGATGCATGAATCCGACCTATAAATAAAAAAATGCCGAAAATAATATATTTTTATAAATAAACTAATTATAAATAAAATAGAAAATATTAGGAATTATACATTATTTGTGAGGCATGTGGGGGTGGGGCCGTAACATATTTGACATTTAATTAAAAATGGCAACAAAAATACCAAAATTTAATTTTTGATCAAAAGAAATGGGTATCTCATCCTCTTTTTTGTAGCTTTACAGATCATTTTGCATTAATTAATTAATTTTTTTTATTTATTTCTAGTTGTCCATTATTCCAATATTTGCACTTTTTTATGTTTAAATAAACTATATTGTTAAATTTAATAACATTTTTACGTTATTTAATAAAATTATTTTAGGGCACAAATATTTAATATTCTTAATTTTATATAATAATTTTAGAAGTAATATATAGTTGGATTGTAAGTCTATTTTGGTTGAATTAATTTGACCTAAAGAAAAAGTCAACCCCAACCGGACAGAAAAAAACATCTAATTTAACCTAATTTTTTCAAGCTATTTCATTTACTACTTTTATCATTTAACAAGCCGACTTGTCGTTAAGATTCGACCGCCCCTCCTTTGAAAGTCAACGGCGTTTCAAAATAGTCAAGGGAGAAGAACAACTACGGAAGACGACATGTCGTTTACATGACTGATATTTCACTTCAAATTCTACGATGTTTTCGGACACCCACCCTACAATCGGTCTCCGTCGCAGAAGCTTCGTCAGAAAATCCAGGGCGACATATTGCGCGAAACTCGATAAAATTGATCCTCAGGAACAGGGTAGGTGAAGGGTAACATCAAGGTCTGAATTATTTGATTTTCGCGTTTCATCTTTGATTCAGAACCCTTCTCGTTTAAGAAATTGGAATCGATCGTAAGCATCTTTTGGTTTTCTTTCATTTTTCTTGATTTTTGGGTGAAAATTTCGATTGGTTTCTCTTAATTGTTCATCGGCCCCACTTCTTGGATCGATTTAACCTAAAATGCTCCATTGACATGGTTGCCTCGTTATTCTCTTTCAGGCCTGGGAGTTTGCGTTGCTCCCATTGTTCATAAGGGGGCTTGAATAGAATTTTCCACGGAGATTTTTAGGCGAAATTCTGGTTTTAAATCCAGACCTGATTGAACTTATTCGATTAGCTTTTGTGGATTGGTCTGGAATGGGGCAACAACAATCGAAAGATGAACTGCTCTACCAGCAAGTAAGCTATGGAAATTCAGAAGGGATTAAAGCCCTTTGCCGAGAGGGTGCAGGCCTTGAGGTAATTGTTAAATTTTCTCATCCTCTTGAGAGTATGATCAATTGCATTTGGTGCTGCTGTTCTTACTTTCATGATATCTACAGTGGATTGATAAGGAGGCGAAAACCCCTTTAATTGTGGCTTGCATGAGTCCTGAGCTTCATAATGTTGCGAGAACTTTGATAGAACTTGGTGCTAATGTTAATGCGTATCGGCCTGGTAGTTTTCTTTATAATTCGCTTATGCTTTCCTCTCATTGCATCATATTCAGCTCTGCTTTGGTTAGCTTAACCCTTTCATTGCATTTTAGGACGTCATGCTGGTACCCCTTTACATCATGCAGCTAAAAGGGGTCTTGAAAATAATGTCAAATTACTTCTTTCTCATGGAGGTTTGTCTTAATTTCTCGATACTAACACATTGTTTCTTTCAATATTTGTTCGATTTCTTTAGCAAGTCTAATTGATATGTTGTGTCATAATCTTCAGCAAATCCATTGATCATGAATGATGATTGCCAGAGTCCTCTTGATGTTGCTAGAACAAAAGGTCACATCAACGTTGTTCGTACAATCGAGGTTTGTTTACCTCGTGATTCTATTTCAACTCCAACTAAAACATTTTTTTGGGTCGAAACTGTTTGTCAAGATGATTATTGAAGCTTTTTTTTTTGTAGAGTCATATTTGTTTGTTCTCGGGTTGGTTGCGGGAGTTTCATGGACCAGGATTTTTGGAAGTACTGGCTCCTCAATTGGTCTCAAGGAGAGTGTATGTACTTTATTACCATAATTCTGAATTTAAGTTTCTTCTATTCGTAGTTCTATGTCAATCAAATACCATGCGCAGTAAGTCGTGAAAGTAACATGACTTAACGACTTGGCGATTGACGATCTATTTGTATTCGAACTCTGAGTATATTTGTCTTGTCAAATTATATGCTTGTGATTGATGTAATTCCAATTCCAGTTGGGCTGTTATTTTACCATGTGGAGCAAGAAATCTTGCAAGGCCTTTAAAGCTGGAGCTTGCTATATACCCAACTCTACAGGTACAGCACATGATATTGCTACTATTCTGCAGATCACGATGTTTATTAATACTTAAAAGGTTTTAATAACGAAAAATTTCCCCTTCAGTCCATCCCAATCAAGAGTGTCGAAACATCTAGCGATGATGGTGCTAGGGTCGAAAAAAATGTATTATCACGTCAGTCGTATATGTTATTTTTTTGATGTTGCGGGCTATATTTTGTCCTGTCACTTCTCTGGCTTTCAAATTGCATCAAAACATATTGTGCCCCTCGGAACCACCATAGCTTATCAATCATGCTAGTGTGCTACTTATTTCGAAAATCTTAGCTTTCCTTTGTTTCATCTGTAAGCAGCGGTACTTGTCCTATTTAAAGTCCCCAGTTCTTTATAGCATTTACTATGCAGTAGATTCTTACCAGGTGGAAGTGGATGTGATCCAATTACTTTACTGATATATGTCTTTGTATTTTCTGTTGGCTCTTGTTCTTGGCAACCATTTGGAATCGTCCATAGGTATCTTATGTTATTATTTTGTTGTGTAATCCTTCCCTGTAACTGGTAGGACGCTCAACCGCGTATTGTTGTTCCACTGTGGAGAGCCAGTTTGGAGGAGACGAAGTCACAGCATTCTGATCCATCAGTTATGATTGTGGATAACGCGGCGAGTAAGTCGTGACTATCTCGACCACTTTGGCACTGAAAGATGCATTCCTTTCATGGTTCTATAATTTCCTTTGCTTAAATAGCCAAGCATAATTCTGACAAAGTGAGCGCAGAAAAGGGGCATGTTCGATTTTGTGAGCTACAGGGTCTAAACATTGTATTTGTATAATTCATAGATCTCTTTATTGGTCTGATGACCTTTGTAATGACCCAAGCCCACCTCTAGCAGATATTGTCCTCTTTGGGCTCTCTCTTTCGGGCTTCCCCTCAAGGCTTTAAAACGCGTCTGGTAGGGGAAGGTTTCCACACCCTTATAAATGGTGGTTTGTTCTCCTCCCCAACCAATGTGGGACATCACAATCCACCCCACTTCAGGGCCCAGCGTCCTCACTGACACTCTTTCCTTCCTCCAATCAATGTGGGACCGGCCCGAAATCCATCCCCCTTTGGGGCCTAGCGTCCTTATTGGTACACCGCCTCGTGTCTACCCCCTTCGAGGAACAACGAGAAGGCTGGCACATCGTTCGGTGTCTGGCTTCGATACCATTTGTAATGACTCAGGCCCACCGCTAGTAGATATTATCTTGTTTGGGCTTTTCCTTTCGGGTTTCCCCTCAAGACTAAACGCGTCTGCTAGGGGAAGGTTTCCACACCCTTATAAATGGTGGTTTGTTCTCCTCCCCAACCAACGTGGGACATCACAACTTTGATCTTCTACCTTCTCTGTCTCTGCCTCTAATAATACTCGCGTACTCCCGAGAAGGGACTAATTTCATATTCTTCTCAACCAAGGAACTCCGTTCTTGACTTAATGTTCGTTTCTTGTTTTGAACTCGTTATAATTATTATTATTTTTGTTTTTTTTCAGAAACTCGCTTGAAACTCGCATCCGGGAATGAAAATGACAAAGAACAACTTCTGTGGTTTTGCAATGCATGCAAAGGAATTCCTACGGTAACACGTCCATCGACGTTTTCTTCGTCTCTTTTCTTTACTATGTCCATTCCCTTCTGGTCTTGGCACATGGTCAAGATAGCTAGAGATTAATTTAGGGTCAATTTGTTGTTCTCCTGCTTTACTTTGTAATAGAAAGGCGTGTACAATTGCAATAATCTGGAAATTTTTGGAATCGTTCAGGTGATGCACCCTGCATTTATGAATGGTAACCAGGGCTCGGGTGCATCCGCAACTGCACCGCCGGACACAGAAGATGTGGAGCTAGACATGGCCATTAACGCTTCCATACAATCATCTACCCAGGGGAGACCACCCTTTCCTGATCCTAGTCCAAGTTCTAAAGCAAGTGCCTCTAGCAGCCATACAGGTCCAGTTACACCAACAACACATTCGACGAAATTAGGCACGAATGATTCCGAAGTGCACGAAGCTGGCCAGAGCAGCAACTCGAACGAACATCCCGAAATCCAGACTAACACCATCCCGTCAGATTCCGTACCTTCAGCTCCACCGGCAGCAAATGATATTCTGGATGATGGTGCAATTCACTATCCATCGATCGACTCAAGTCCAATTGACTTAAGACCGGGCGAAGGGAAAGAGGAAGCGAGTTCTTCATCATGTGTTATATGTTTGGATGCTCCCATTGAAGGAGCCTGCATTCCCTGTGGACATATGGCTGGGTGCATGAATTGTTTGACTGAAATCAAATCCAAGAAATGGGGCTGCCCAGTTTGTCGTGCCAAAATCGACCAGGTCGTCCGATTGTATGCTGTATGAATAACCCAGAACGTCGAATTATACTGTGAGTAAACTATTTAATGTATAGTTCCTGTTTATATATATTCTTGCTACATATATACTCATTGTGTTCTATCTGATTGTGTGGACACAATATTGGTAATGTAAATGCATTTTGAATACAACTTATCATTATCAATACCCCCGACTTGAGCATACGCTCTTGAACATACGCTTTGTCATCTTAGTGTGAGAACCTTAAAAGAAACTCGTGATGATTTTTTTTTTTTTTACTCAACTAGTAAAGGTCAAGAAAAAAGGGGGACCCGCTTCGAATCTAAACTTTTTCTCCTTAGCACAAGCACTGAGTAAACTACCTCTCTCGAACATTCACTTTTTTTAATACAAGATTTTAATACGATAATTAACTTCGATAAACAATTTCCTTAACACTCAAAGTTAAGTGAAGAGATGATGATAAAAAGTAAATTGGAGAGAATTTAGAATTTTAGAAAATGAGATGGGTATTTATAGGCCGTAAAAAATAATATAAAAAAAGGTAAATAAATAAATATATTTTTTGTAATTTAGAAGAAAAAAAAAAACAATATATTTTTAGGGGAAAAAAAAAATCGTTTATTTGGACCGCGCCAGGGCCAGATCTTCAACTCGCGCCTTTTCTCTGCTTCGTCGTTTCTGTCGAATCTCCCCCGAATCGAACATGCAGGTGAGCACTGCTAATATAGTTCTCTTATTCTTATGTGTTCTTCGCTCATGTATTCTCGAATTTGGTTTGTTTTTGTTTTGTTTTTGTTTTTTTTTTTTCCATTCATTACAGCAGTAATTCCAAAACCCTAGAACTGATTAGTTGATCGGAGGTTTTTTTTTTTTTTGTGATATTTCTGATATCGTGAGAATTTGATACCGTTGCTTCGCGGAATTACTGCCTCCATTTAGCTTTATTTTTCAATTCATTTAGCGTTTATGTTTATTTACTTCTAGTTGTCGTATGAATCTGGGTTGATGCATTTGTGAAAATTAGCTCTGCTTAAAATGAACTATCAAGAACGGGAAATATCGTATGTATGTATTTTTAGGAAACAATTTCATTGATGTATGAAATTTACCAAAAGGAAGCAGCCCACATCCGAGTTAGTGACAAGAAACATTTCTAATTGGATAAAAGGGTAGAATAATTTTAGAATTGAAATAGTGAAGATAATTTACATCGATAAGCATGCTCTTTTCCGCTGAAATCCCTTTGATTCCTTTCATTCCAAGGAAAGGATACCGTATTGGGGCCATTTATTTATTTATTTTCCCATTTTGTTCGGATGTTATTAGTGTCATATGTGGAAATCAAACCTCTGAATCAGTAATCCGTATTTGAAATCTAAGGTCTGATCATGGCTTACTGTCTTTGCTTGAGGTTTCCTCAGATGGAGCTAATGTTGGTTTCTGATCTTCAATGCAGGCCAGTGATAGATTCAACATCAATTCCCAGCTTGAGCACCTTCAGGCTAAATATGTGGGAACTGGGCATGCTGACTTAAATAGATTGTTAGTTTTCCTATTCCTTTGGAGCTTTGATCTTATATTACTTCGCATAGTAGTTTGTAATCCTCATTTCATATCTCTTTGTGTACAGTGAATGGGCTGTGAACATTCAGCGTGATAGCTATGCATCATATGTTGGACATTATCCCATTCTAGCTTACTTCGCTATAGCAGAAAATGAATCCATTGGAAGGGAACGCTACAACTTTATGCAGGTTGGTACATTGCCTTTACTTGTGTTTATTTGTCTTTTCCCTGTCACGCATTCTCTTCATAGCATTAACCCCCCACCCAAAAGAAAAAAGTCAGAATTGGAAAAGAACTAAGAGAAAAAAAGAGAGAAAAAGATGGGCTCCAATCCATTTTGTTAAACCTTTCCTATAATGTTCACTCCTTCCCCAAGCCTCCAATAAATTTTATTATCAGTAGGCAGTTTTTATTTTCTTTTCTTTTTTAGTGCCAACCATTTCTGAGGTTTCTGGATACATTCATTATACTTGTTCAATATTACCTTCATGTGTCCACCACCCTTATAATGTGCTTTCTGAGTTTCAAGTCATTGTAATATGATTACTGGGTGACTTGTTGCTTTCAACTTTTCAATTTTTAGTATTCAATCTGGTTTGCTTGTCTTCACTTAAACAATAGTGCAAGTATTTCATTCTGCATGCTTTTAGTTATCAATAATAAATTGGACATACCAAATTTGATATGCGGGGTTGTGCCAACCATGTAACTAACTTTCTTTCTTAATGAGGAATAGCAAATTTGACTTTACACGCTATGAGTTGCCAATAACGATTCTTCATACCAACTTTGAAGTGTAGGGTTGAGCCAATCATGTTACTGACTTTCTGTCTTAATGAGGGATGGAAAATTTCATCATCTCTGCCCCTTGATTTCATTTACAACTTAATTAGATACAGAATGGTAACTATTAACATTACTCTTTTGTTTTTTGTTTTTGTTTCTTTGCAGAAAATGCTATTACCTTGCGGCCTTCCTCCAGAAAGAGAAGATGATTGAAATCGTATTAGGTTGTGACAAGAGATTTTAGTACTCTGGATCTTCGTGGGGTTAACGAACTTATCCTTTTGTGAGCTAACTCTGTGTCTGTTCAGAAGCAATGAATGGGAAATGTGAACTATTTTCTCTTGTAATGCTCTTGCTTGATTAAGAATCAGTTTCCAACTAATCTACAAGACTGCACTGTACCTTGTTGTTCTCCCTTTTATTTCAAGAAAAAGTTCTATCTCAATCATAGTTTGTGGAACGTTCCCATCTTTAGATGTATAATTGGGCTTAATCAATGAATTGATTGTTTCCTTGACAAGACCATGAATTTAATTTGACAGCTATTGATGCTGGATTTGGTCCATTCAGTTTGTAACTATTATCAGTCGGTTACTCAGTTTCAGGAGTTATTGTGTACCTACTGAGACTACTTGTTACAGGAACGCATCAAAACTATGTGATACGTCGCATGCTAATTAATACAGGTGGATGTTTATTAGGTGCTTGACTTGATAATGTTTCTTGTTCAGCATGGTTAGAATGAAAGGAGGACCTTCTTGGAACTGCCTCCAACTTAACTTTGGGGAAGATTTTGGGTTGGCTGGAGGGTGCCTCTCCTAATCCCAGACTCTTGCCAATCAGTTCTCTGGTGTGATTATACAAAGTGGAAAGCAGGTCCAACTGAAGGAAGAGTCAACGAGGGGACATGTGGGTCCAGTATTGGTCCTTGCCATTTCGATACATCATTAAATGTCCTATGGGTTTCAACGTTTTATTTGTCTCTTCACTAACAAAAGCTTCGGTTCATGTTGAGGAAAATGCAAGCACACATGCTTTCAGTCTGACAAAGGTACGCTATTCGATTTCTTTGAGACTCTTCATATTTATCATGTCAGGAATTTGCAATAACTCCATGTTAATGGTTAATAGAACCTTGTGGGCTCCCAATAGTTGACTTGTTTTCGATTCATTTAGTGTGGGAGAGCATCTAGTTCATCCTAATTTTGACACTTTACATAAGTATTTGATCATTGCAATACCTATAAGATTGAGCTATCCAACCTTATTTTCGATAATGACATTAAAAAGAGGAGGAGTTTCTGCTTTCTGCACCGACTATGCAAGTTGCTAGAATGTTTTGGACGGTTAATCCACTAGTAAACTTAAAAGAGTGTGAACCACAAATTTGAGCAGATTTTGTCGGCATGGCTACGTGGGGCGTTATATCACATGCTGTCATGTTAACATAGAACTGCATCAACTCAACTCTGACAGGGCATGTTCCTTCCAAGTCGAACATAGTAGTACGTACCTTACTTTTGCTTAGTTTATACTTGCTATTTATTCTAGACAACCTTTTAGCCTCCAGCTATAAATCTATACTCGATGATGTATGCCACTCAGACTCACAACTCATAATTTTATCTTTGTGAATCACTTCTTATTCGAATTTCATATCTATCATGATTCTTATACAAAATACATTCTTAAACTCGATAAGAAATCTTATGGAATCTTTCATAATCTTGTAAGATACACATAGTTTAACTTTTGGATGCTGTTTTTCTACCTTGTAGGTTGTTGGATGTGTAACCGTCCAAGCTCACCACTAGTAGATATTGTCCGCTTTAGCTTGGTATGTATCGTCATCAGCATCACGATTTTAAAAAGCATCTATTGAGGTGAGGTTTCCACACTCTTATAAAGAATGCTTCGTTTCCATTTTCAACCAACGTGGAATACTTCTTTTCACAGTCGACTAAGATACTAATGTGATTTTAAAGATTCTAACATATAATTAATTTGTTAATACGAACTACGAATGAGATAATATTGTACGCTCGATTTTAAGTTCAGAAGTGGTAAGTGTGTGGTTAAAGCAAGCCCTACCGTCATCTTCCTCCATGATTGGTACCAAACTTTCCATTTTGTTTTTTCTGTCCTCGCATTTATTCTCTGTAGTGAAAAATGAGAATGCTTTTTCTGTTTTTGTCGAAATGTTTATGATAGGTGTGTGACATCTCTTTGGATTCTGCTGCGAGGGAGGGACCAACCCTCGCCGGGCCCTTACCTTTCACATGCTGTCTTTGACTCCGTCATCTCCTCATATGCTACTTTTTTGTTTTTTTTAGCTTCAAACCTTTCATAATATTTGGTGTTTGGCTTATAGAGTAAACTTTTGTACTTTTTAACTTTAGAGATGAAATTTATATTTAGTGTCCAAATTTGTTTCTCCTCAATTATAGAAAGCAATCTCACATGTTACATAAATTTTGACTTATATTTACCTTTCGATTTTACAAATTATAGATTTAGCAGTCTGGTTAGTTACTGGTCAAATAGAATCATTTTTTCGAGACTTTTTACGTTCTTTTTTTAATCACCTGGGAGTTAGAATTAATTTTCGTTTATTCCTTTTTCTACTTCTTCTTCCAAGTGCAGTTAGAATTAATTTTCGTTTTCTACCTTTTCTTCCAAGTGCAGGATAACCTCAAGGTGTTGCAGGTTTTTTTCTACCAATTGGGGCCCTCCCTTCACCACCCTCACGGGGATGGTCTACAAGTTTCATAACTACTCTTACCACAGGACACTTAGCCAACATTTAGATCCGGCTCTACCCAAACTTTTTTGGTTTACCCCCTGCATTCCCCACTTGTTGGACTGTTGCTGAGCAATTTTTGGATATCAAACGGGCCTCCCCAGAAGGTAATTTTAATGTAGCCGATTTCTCCTCTTTTGCAATCAGTTTCGCTACAGCACGTGCTGCTCTAGCTAATTGTCCTCCCTTCCCAAGTGTGATTTCTATATTATGTTTGGGCGTGTCTATGTTAATAGGAGTTTCAGGCCTTTAATAAACCAACTTTAAATATTGATTAGCTACTTAATTATATCCAATAGCATGTTTAAAAAATATATTATTTTTTCAATATATTTAATTTTTTAGCGGAAATTGAGATTTAGAATGATGTGGTAGTGACCTAGAATAAAAATTTGGATTTCCACAAGATGACCCATTCTATAGGTCAATAGTAATTTTAAGACGTTATGAAAAGTCAAAGTCAAATAGTAATTTTAAGACATTACAAAAAGTGAAAGTCAAAAGGTAAAATAAAATTGAATGTTTTCGGAAGTTTCCTATTTTTTCAATATCAATTCAAATTATATCACGTCATGTTTATAATTAATCTTTTTTAAAAAACAGAAAAATAAAGATGAAGTCAAAGACTTAATTGTAATTATTTAAATTAAATTACCCCACCACCTAATAATTATATTTAAGCCTCTATCCAACATGAGTCCAACTGAATTTGTTAATATTAAAACCATATACTTTTTCTACCAAATATTAATTAATTCATTTTTGACGTATATATTCATTTTAAAGAATACGGTAAAAATGTAATATTTTAAAATTTATCGCTAAATAAAAATTAAATATAAAATTTAGAGATAAAAAAAATTTTAAATTATTATTATTATTATTATTTTATAAATACATTTAAAAATAAAATAAAATAAAATATTTTTTATCCCTAGTCTATCAATCAAGCAGGCTGACGTTGAAAAAAAAATATATATTTTTGTAATAAAAAAAAGTATTACAGGCGTATAAATCTATCTTACAAATTAAAAAAAAAAAAAGGGAAAATCTTTATTTACACGCGTCGAATTATAATTGGATAAAGGTAGGGAAGTGTAGCGTAGAAAAATAGGCTCAAGGACAGCAGATTGGCAGTTAGATTAAAATAATAAATAAAAACATAAACAGTGCTTTTAAGAAGAAGAATGAATCATCCGAAGCTTTTTTGTCATCCATTTTCCTTCATTTTCTCGCTTCCTTTTTTTCACTCCGTCAAATTCCACCAAATAATCTCCTCTTCCTCCTCTCTAATCCCCGAACAAACTTGATCCTTGTCCGAAACTCAGATCCGAAAATCCCTTTCCGGTATATATTCCGACGTTAAAATCTTTACCATTCTTGTTATTATCAATTTCTTCATTTCCTCCTCGCCAAATTCTCTACCGCCATCTCCTTTTCATCTCCAATTCCCTTTTTCCAGATGTAATTGCATTTCTCTTACATGCGTTTTCATTCCGTTTTTGATGTTTCCGCATTTTTGTTCTTCCATTTCTATGTGTAGGGAAGGAATGTGTTTTGTGAGCTTTTGTGCCTGATTTGTGGATTTAATGGAATTTTCGATCATTTCCATTGGATTCCAAGGTGTGGATCAGAGGTTGTATTTGATGATTTGAATCCCGAGATTAATCGAGGCGGTACCTGGATTGGGAACGGGATTGTCCAGCGGGGAAGCATTTTTGTGCCATTTTCTTTAATGATGGGCTAAGTTCTGAGCTGATTCGTATATATAGGCGCGAGTTTGGTGGATTAGTAAATTAGGTGATGGAGCATATTGTAGGTGGGAAGTTTAAGCTTGGGAGGAAGATCGGAAGCGGATCATTTGGCGAGCTTTATTTGGGTATGCAACTCATGTGCTTTGTTATTCGATTGGTCCTGTAATTCACGTGCTTGTGTTTGAAAAACATGGCCGACATTGATGGTGTTTCGTTTGGTTTATTCAGGTACCAATGTGCAAACGGGAGAGGAAGTGGCTGTCAAGCTGGTAAGTGGGTAATTCGATTGTGTCTCCATTTCTCCTTTGTGCTGATATCGCGATCCAACCAATTGTGAAATTTTTCCATCAAGATTAGAAATGAACTTTTTCCTTTAACAAAGATCGTCCTCTGATGTCTGAGTTTTGATTTTTGTCTTTTTAGAACTTTTGTTGTGATCACCAAGTTGGGCATATGGCTGGAAACTTTAATAACCACATTGGCATTTTGAGTGTTGTTGTCTCCATTAGTTAAGAATTGGATGAAAGCCATTAGTTTTGGTTGCTTACCGAATTTCTTCTCTTTTAGACACTTCTATCAAGACTTATTAGATATATATTTCTTTTCTCTTACTGTTTAAGCCAAGAGTGGGGAAGATTCCTGAGGAAACAAGAATATCTTGCTGTCTTTCTGAATTCTGATGCTTTAATTTACTCTGCTCCGTTACTTAGGTCGTTTATGGCGTTTAATGATAACCATATCCACCATTTGATTTATATTGTACATTGATAAAATTCTAGATTTTGGTGATTCATTCATGATATTCTTGTTTCCTCAGGAATCTTCAAAAACCAAGCACCCTCAGCTTCACTATGAGTCAAAATTATACATGCTTCTTCAAGGAGGAAGTAGGTTTTATTTATAGTTCATTTACTCCGAGTGATGTTAATTATACTCTCTTAGAATTTATGTCCAATAGATGTAGTTTTTTCTCTTAATATTCTTTGTTTATGTATGTAGCTGGTGTCCCCCATCTCAAATGGTTTGGAGTTGAGGGTGATTACAATGTCATGGTTATTGATCTTCTTGGGCCAAGCCTAGAAGACTTGTTCAACTACTGTAATCGGAAACTGTCCTTGAAGTCGGTTTTGATGCTTGCAGATCAGTTGGTTAGTTTGCCAATACTTTTTAAGTTGTATCTTACTGATTATTTTTGCAGTGCTCATTCTTTTATCTCTCCCCTGTAGTTAAACAGAGTTGAATATATGCATTCACGTGGTTTCCTTCATCGTGACATAAAGCCGGACAATTTTCTAATGGGCTTGGGGCGAAAGGCTAACCAGGTATTATATATTGAACAACATTTTGTATTGTATTTTATAATATTTGAGAATGTTAGTGATGGCATTTAGAATCTCATTTCTTATTTGTACTTTACGCGTTTGTTGGTACTTAAGTTTATTCCATGTCGGTGACCGAGCTAGGTCTGGATCCCACATGAAGTTAGTAGTTTCTGCTGTCTCAAGGTCATAATGCAGAGACAAGACAGAAAATGACTTCAATTTAAGTTCTTGCGTGTATCAGTTTTATAGGGAAAGGGGGTAGCTGATTGGAAAGTTAGTATCTTTGGCTTATACCTTATTAAATCAAATCACCTTGCTTTTGTGAACAGGTATACATCATTGACTATGGTCTTGCAAAAAAGTACAGAGATCTTCAGACACACAAGCATATACCATACAGGTAACTTATCATCTATTACCTTTTTGTGACTCTGGCATGTCTTTTATCTGCATTTTCCCTTGAATAATCGTGACACTCCTAACTAATTGAGTCGTGAAACTTCAGTTTTCAGTTCACTAAACATGCCTAGCTATGAACAACCATGGTAGAGTAGGTAGCCATATGTCAGCAAATAGTTTATCAATTCAAATGCCTTATAAACCTTATTCTATCCTTCAACTCCATGGTAACGTCTCATTGTCATAAAATTCAATGATGAATATAGTGATAAAGTGACTTTATCGTTCAAACAAGTCTTTCATGAGCTGGGAATCCTTGTTCTTTTGGGTATTTCTTAGCACTTGAGTAGGATCTGAATGCTCCTTTTTTTTTTTATCTAATTTTGCATCTATGAGATAATCTTTTCCTCTTATATTGTGGTGAAGATTTTAGCTGATCTTCATTCTTATTTTTCTAAATTAACCTTGGTGGGTTCTCTTGCTTCTGTGACAGAGAAAATAAGAATCTCACCGGAACAGCACGCTATGCAAGTGTCAATACTCATCTTGGAGTTGGTGAGGCAATCTTCTTCTTCGTCGTCTTTTTTATACTTTTTTTTTCTGTCAGCCAGATTCTTTATAGAAAACTACTTGATTTGATTGCAGAACAAAGCAGGAGGGATGATTTAGAATCACTGGGCTATGTGCTCATGTATTTTCTAAGGGGAAGGTTCCACACATTACTTGATGCTTGCTTTTCCTACTCATATCTGTTTGAGATCAGATTTTGACCTAAGTTCATGAATCTTTATCTCAGCCTTCCTTGGCAAGGGCTGAAGGCAGGGACTAAAAAGCAAAAATATGACAAGATCAGTGAAAAGAAGATGCTTACTCCAGTAGAGGTATTATTACTCGCTCGCACATTAACGTTTTCAAAAATATAAATGTGACAAAGTGACATACGGTGAGGACAGGTGATTGTATGGACCAGTGTGCTTGCCATATGCCAGTTTGTCTCTTACAAATTATAATTGAATTTGCTTGAAGTTTTTTCATGGACGTACTTGACATAGTAACATGTTTCTAGGTTCTCTGCAAGTCATTTCCCTCAGAATTTACATCCTACTTCCACTATTGTCGATCACTGAGGTTTGAAGACAAACCTGACTATTCGTATCTGAAGAGATTATTCCGAGACCTTTTCATCCGCGAAGGTTTGTTTGAATTGTTGATTTCTCTTGT